CCAGCTTCACTCCGTTAGGTCCGGATGGGGGTTTCTTTGGCTCTAGGCCGGCTAAGTCCGGGTGCTACAAAAGTGACCCCACTTGGCCGTCGCTTCTCCGCCTGCCTGCAGCTCCGAAAAGTCGGGGTTTGCTGGAAGCTCTGTCACCTCGCCAACCTCAAACAGATGGCCTTTGGCCCTGCGCGGGTGTTCCCGGGCTTCTGCTTAGACGTAAAGGCGAGTGGGTGTGCTGCCCACAAAAGAGGGTGCGAGGAGAGGTCTCCGGGACAGGATTTGGAGTCGTGGCGGGAGCCCAGAGGTTTAGCTGAATTGGGAGAGGGTCCCTAGGGTTTCCGAGGCTTCTCGTTCCAGTGCCTCAGTGGGGTGGAGGATCTTTTTCCCGGAGCGCGGGAAGGCTGGGGACGCGAAGCCTAGGGACATGGCCGGTCCAAGGAGTGGAGTGGGGTCGGGACTTTTCTAGGGAAGCAAGACCCCGAGCCCCGGGATGGTAACGGGCCTGCAAGTGGGCAAGAAAGGAGGCCGGGTGAAAAATGCAGCGGGTCTGAACTTCAATGCTCTGCGGTCCCCGCAGTCACTCTAGGACCCCCGGGGTTGGTAGAGCATCCAGAGAGCCGCGAGGCGACCCGCCCAGGGAGGCCCAGGCAGCGTCGGCAGGCGTTTGGCCTGCAGGGAGGAAAGGAGGAGCGAGGAGAGCGGGAGGGATACAGGGAAGCAAGGAAGATGCTCAAAATGGCGCTGGACCCAGCGGCAGGGAGGGCGAAGGAAGAGCCGGTGGCCGCCATGACAGCCGCTTCGGGAGGCGCGGGGTCCCGGCCAGGGAATCCGTCCCGGAGCCCACCTTCTCCTTTCCGGGGCGTCCAGACGCCAGTGAAGAAAGGGAGCCAGGGAGCCTCCTTTCAGTTTTTGTTTTATTTTAAAAATGAGCCCAGCAGATGTTGAGGACGCTAGATGGACGGAGATTCCACGTGGGGGTGGGACAGGGAGGGGGCGCGGCGGGTCTGCAGGCCCCGGATGGCCTGGGCGACCCAGGCTTTTGATCCTTCGCTCTGGGATCTGAAGCTCGGCCAGAGCTTTCTCCAAATGCAGACCTACCTGTCTTTGCCAACAACTTCATTTGCCATCTCAACACTCGCTCCTACCGCCCACAGTGCACCCTGCCCGGCGACTTGCAAACCCGGTAAGCGGGAAGCAAGGATCGATCTTCCCCATCTGCCTTCTGGTTTCTTCTGGGGAACGTGGAGATTTAAAGGGCCCCGGAAAGCCATCCATCCTCTTTAGGTTTATTTAATATTTCTCTGGCTCAGAAACAGACACTGCAGGGCTACCTCCCTAGCAGATGCTGCCGTTCTCTAAAAGTAGTTTATTTCCTGGGCCTCCCAGACTTTCTCCTGGACCAGCCTGACGGGGACTTGGAGTACCAAGCACGGAAAGGCACCAACTGTCAAGAAAAGCCAGGAGCCCACATTGGTTGTGACATAAAGGACTAGATAGATAGGCCTTCGCATATTTTTTAAAACTGGTCTCTCGGTGTGAGAAATACAGGCATCGTATTCAGCTGAAATTTAATCCCTTAAACTGTCTTAATATAGAATTCATCTCCTGCATTAAATTATTTTATGTCATGTTAAATTGCACTTATTTCATAAATTAATATAGAACAATTAGATGTGTTATAATAATATTGTGTATCTTATTAGTTTATTTTTCCTCAAAATATATAGGTATGAAATAAATTCAATATATTAAAGTAGTAATACACAGCTTATTGGCTTGTGTGTTTATTTTCCCCATAAATTAGTGGATATACAATATATTAAAACCACAGTATACATCTCATTGGTCTGTGTGTTTATTTCTCCATAAAATATGCCCATAGGCAGTGTTTAGCATCTTAAAAAATCACAGCACATAGCCATCTTTACACTAACAAAATGAAACAGACATTTCAACTGGGGCTTTGATTTCTATGGACAGCCAAACTGGATAATTTGATCTAATTAAAAATGCTCTTTCAGCTATAGCAGGTTGTTACAAAGATCAAGAATACCAGAAGGATCTTGCTAATTGCCCACCTTACAGCTTTCTTTGGTCAAAAGGAGAGCACCCTTCATCAATGCCAAAAATGCAGTATCTGCTCTGCTGGAGAGAATTCACATCCTGGGATCACAGCTTGGTCTGCTATACTGAGGGGCCTCTGAAGCTCCAGTTCTCTAAAAGCTTTGCTGCTCTATGGCCCAGCAGCATCAGCACTTACCATGAGCAAGTTAGAAATGCAGAATCTTAGGCCCCACCCCAAACTAAATCAAAATCTCAACTTATTAGATCCCCAAGTAATTTATATGCACATTAAAGTTTCAGAAGTACTGCTAGATCATAGTGCACCTTGTTCCCTGCCTTCCTCCTATGCTTAAGAATTTTTGATCCAATTTAACTGGACACTGCCTTCCAATCCTTCCCAAACCAATCAGTGGCCCAAAGGGCAGGGAATCTCAGCTCTTCCCTGAGGCTGCATCAATCCTGATTCCTTCCTGCCAGAGTGAGTAGGGAGCCAGGAGAGTCCAGCCAAAGGCTCAAGCTACCTGTTTAGATATAGATACTCTGTGTGTCCTGGGGGTGAGAAGCAACTAATCCAATGGAATCAGGAGTTCGAGCATTTTCCTTGGTTGATTATTAGACAGGAGTTGAAAATCTTTACAGACACCACACGAGACTTTCTCTCTTTTCTTATACTCACAAAAGTCATCACCTCTGATGCCACTACAGCAGAACAAAGAGGCAATGTATTTGCATAAGGAAATGACTTCTGCTTTCAATCTCCTTACCCAATTTCAAATTCAAAGGGATGCCTCACCATTTGGGATTCATAAAAGATTAGGATTCAGGATGCCTGTGTTCTAAATTAGTTCTTTTTCCTTGTCTCATCTCTGGGGTCATCCTCTTTAGCCTGATTCTTCTGGCTGGCTATGGAGAAGAAAGGAGAAGAAGGAAGGAAGGAGATTAGAGGGCAGTGCCAGGTGGCCGGACTCACTTATCTCATCCCAATGGGTCAGGATCAACTGTATGTGTTCTGTAGCACAGATTGGCTATAAATTGACTGTGGTTGGAGTGGGAAGATTTCAGTGCCATCCCGAAAACTGCTGGTCAGTCTGCCCTGCTCTTGGTGAGTCATTCTTTTAAGAAGAATGACTCATTAATATTATGGTGAAAGCAAAGGACCATTAGATTGAAGAATTATTTGCAATAACAATAACCTTGAGTCATTTAAAAAAATGTAACTTGTGCCTGAGCAAGTCCCTTTCCCTCTCCAGACCTCAGTTTCTCCATTTGTAAAATAAATGGAGGAACTATATGTCTATAATGTCCTCTGCATCAAGAAATGTCAAAAGTATATTCATTAGTCTTCACAAATAATGTATTAAATATTTATTGTGGCTGGTACTATGTGCTTTTTAATGGAGGTGGCGACTCTTGATGTTCGACAATTACCCACGTCCCAAGTATCTGGTAGAACCATTTCAACAAGTTTTAATTTGTATCTTTACACCAAAATTGTGTCCCTAGTCATTATTTAAATGAGTAGGGAGATAAATCTTTTCAACAACCAGGTAGTTAGATACAATGCTGTGTGCCAGGTGCCAGGTATTCAATAAATATGAATGTTAAGAAGTGTCCTAGCCATATTTTCCTCTGGCTTTTATCTTCTGCCACTTTCCCCAACATTTGATTATGTTTACTCTTGTTTGAAAAGAGTAAAATATTTTATACAAACCAGGCACCAAACTACTTCTTTGACATGATGTACTAGACTTTAAAAGTCCCCTTTAGTCAGGTTTTATCTGGTTGATGGGGCATCAGAGCATTAATACAAATTCTGAGTCTCCCTAAATAGCTCTGCTAAATTCCCCTGCTTACCTTTCCCCCAAGTCTCTAACAAGCACTAAATGGCCCCACTGTACATCTTCCTGAAATGTGCTCTAGTCAAATACATGTCATCAGTTTGCAGAAAGTGGCCCTTGGGGCCCCACATCACCCCCTCCACCTGCCATGCCTGGTGTGACCCCAGTCCTCCACTGACCTCTCCAGACCAGTCCTGCTCTTCTGTCCTGTCCTGTCCTGTATCCCTACACACACACACACACACACTGTGGTGATACAGATATTTAGTGCCTAAAGGAGATCTAACAAACTGCTTCCTCCTCTAAAGAATGGGTCAACAGTGAAAGAATCCTCCTAAAATCTCTAATTTCCAACCACCACAGAAAAATCACAGTCTGGACAGTCCGTCATGCAGATACAAATTCAGCTTGATCAGTGTTCTACAAGGTTTCCAGAGTGGATATTTTGGCCACAACCACCACATTTGGATAAACCCAATTCAGTAGGAAACTATTTCAATTCTTCATGTCATTCTAATCTTTCTTTTTAGAAGAAACCCAACTCTTTGGCTTACCTTTTACTCCAGATGAAGGTTTACATCCTGTTGCTCTATCTAGATCATAGAAGTCAGGTTCAACCCCAATTCCCCAGGAAGGACAGTTTCTAAGTTAAATCCCTCATGGAGCAAGAGACAACATCTTTCTTAGAAAGCTTTTCCTAAATATTGAAATGACCAGGAAGTTCATGCTAATATCCAACCTCAAAACTTTCTGGTGCAATTTTAATCATTTGGGTCCTTTATAGATTATATAATATTAGGCTTTAGTTTTCAAAAAATTCTTTAGCTTAGAAGAAAATCCTTTGCCTATACAAAGCCAACCTCAGTGAAATTTACATATGATAAAGTACATATTGTATAATATATGGTGATATGTTACATTAAAATATAGCACATGTGCTATTTTCCTTTCACATATTTCCACATTTTAATATGCTAGTTATATTAAAAAACCAAAGACTGACTCATACTATTTCAGAATGTGCATGTAATGTTAATATTATGCATTTATAGAATTCTCTTTGGTTCATATTTTCTTGCTTCCTTTAATCCTACTAACAGTGCAGTGAAGTAAGTAGTACTAAATCCATTCTTCTCTGAGGCTGAGACTCAGAGAAACCAGGAAACTTATCCAAGGTCATAATGCTAAAAAATGGTCAAGCAAGGATTTGAACCCAGGTGTTCTGGCTGTCCAACCAGTAGTCTTCCCATTACAAAATGCACCACCCACAACATAGTCTGTGGTTCTCAGACTGTGACAATTGTCACAAAAATTTGCAACAATTTAATTAGCTTGCATTAAAAGAAACACCACTAAATTCAAATTCTACCCTCCCCACAAACGGCAACAATAAACTATCTCTTATAGAGAAATAAATTATAACCTTGAATATCCTTTTAATTTCAATCTTTGATCTTGGGCTTGGCCTCCAAGATCTGGGCTGGGGACAGCAGGCAGAGAGACACTTAAAGGCCTAAGGAAAGAACTGTTCAGATTGCTACTACCAATCCCCATCTAAAGCAGATTCCTCCACAGAAAAGGCCAGAATCAGGTGTAAACTTCTAACATATCTGCATTCTGATTAGAATGGTTTCCCTGACTGCATTCTCAGTGTGATAAGGACTAGCATCTCTCAAAGATAATTTCAGTTCTAAACATTCCTATGTTCTTCTTGTTCTCCTATATGTATAAATAGATTATAATAAAGAAGAAATCAACTTTATTTCATTGTGATATTGGGTCTATTCAGACCTTCTCTGGTGAATTTAATTTGGTCAACCAGAAAATCCTATAGTCCATAGATTACTCTAGATGTAGATTACTTCTCTTTGTTTTGTTTTGTACTCAGCTGTAGGTTTAGCAAGGAATCCAGCCTCCATTAACTTTCTCTTCAGGCCAGAGGATGGTGAAGCTTCTTTCAAGGAGGAAGAGACTTGGGAGCCAAGTTGCTTTTTCTCCTAGACCTTTCTGCTGGAAAAAGTTTCTGTTGGAAAAAGTTTTAATCTCTCTCTACACAAGGGAAGGTAACAAGACTCAGATGAATTGGAGATTATAGTGTTTTTGGAGAGCTGAGGTCAAAGTAAACACTGAAAGTATAACTTGAATCTCTTTTGCCTACTCCTTTTCTTCTTGTCATTAATAATGGACTACTGGTAACTTCAACTGTTATTAGGGAGACTGCATTTCTCCAACTCTCAGACAGATTTCTGCTCTTTCATTAAACTAATTTGAAATTTACTTCCTCCTTTAGACCTCAGTTGTTCTCTTAATTAAGAGGGCAAAGGATGAGGTGAACAGGTTCTCTCTGGGTTGCGGGAAAGGTGAAAAGTGCAGTCTCAGGTCTCTCAGAGGCAGGTGGCCAAGCATAGCTCAGATATAGGCTGAGCTCAGATTTGGGGTTACAAGAGAAGTCCTAGTTCCCTATACCATTCTTTTCCAAAGTCCTCTGTGGAGAACATCATAAAGTGAGAGGCATCTACAGACTCCAAAAGGTCCAAAAGAAAAATATGCTGGCTCTCACCTCAACGCTCTTCTCTCCAATACCTCTGCAGGCCACTTCTGCCTCCCATCTCAGTTTTTTCCTTTGTCTGCCCTTGTTCCTTTGGCAGTGAACATTCTCTCACTCTCCTCCACTGTATCTCTCTTAAAGAAATTACCAATGGTCCTCCTCCCTGTCCTGATCTGTAGTAGGGTCTGAAGCAGAGTAACATCTGAGGAGAGGAAAGGGCAGGGGCCCTGTGAAATGCTCTGAGCTCTTTCTTGGTTGGGGGCTAAGTGAGGCTCACAGTAATTAAGAGAAGAGAAAGGCAGCGTGATTTTGGTGCTAAAGACAGAAAGCAGGAGAGGTGACTATAGTAGACAGGCAGAATGGGAAACAGAGAGATGGAGAGACACAAGAGACTAAGAGACAACTTTGGAATTCCTCGCAGAGGAATGAGTATTTACGCTGCCCTTTTTGGAGTGGGGAAATCTGAGAAGTTTTGAGGTTTCTCTCTGGACCTGTCCCACCTGCTTCTCTTCCTCTCCTGAGCTCAGCTGTTTACAGAGATCCCTTCCTGAACTCTTGCCCTCCTGGACTTGCCCTAGCCCCGGCCCCAGGCCTCCAGCCAGACAGACACCCTGACAGGTTACAAATGAGTGTGGGTGTTGGATTGCGCCAAGCTCTTGTCCTCAGAGTCTGGAGGAGGAGAATCAATGGGCTCTACTCTCTTCCAGTTCCATCTCAGTCTGAAGGGAGTGAAGGAGGCACTCCTGTTTCCTTCTCCCCTAACCCTGACCCAACAAACACACAAGAGCAGAAAGGGGTGAGAATTCACTCCTGAGCTTCAGGACCTCCACACTGAACATCCTATTCTTTGAGCAAACTCCCTTGATCTATTCTAGAAAATTAATTGAAAATTTGAGTAATCTTTAAGATGTAATTGGTATTGAGTTTATGGATTTGAGGCTTGGAATTCTTTTGGAGGATGGAGGAAGAGATGAAGGGTGGTGAGGCAGAGAGGGCTAGGAGGGGACTAAAGAATGCAGGATCTACACAAGTTTTAAACACTTCAGAAAAGGAATAAAAATTCCCTCCTCTTCACTTGTAAACATCTCCTAGCTCGGTGCTCATTGTGGCTCTCTGGAGAGATACAGGGAGTTATTTGAGTCTGAGTGAGCGAGCCAACTACAGCTATGGATGGCTAGAGAGAGGATAAATACATCTAGAGAGATGAGTTGATGGATAGGTAGGGAACGAATATAAATATATAGAGAGATGAACGAATGGAGAGATGGATTGAGACAGAGGGAATATGAAGAGAGGCTGAGGGAGAGAAATGGATGTGTGAATGAGGAGAGAGCGTTTGTGCGGAGAGCTAGAGAGAGAAATGGGGCGTTTCTCATCCTCCCTCCACATTTCTGTCCTTTCTCTCTGATATGCCAGTTTCCCATCACTCATTTAATGACTTCATCCTTTAAATTCTAGACCCTGCCTCACACCCTTAGGTGTTTTTGCACCCTCTACCTTCACAGTCATCCATTTGGCCCAGGATAACATACCTCACCAGGCTGTCCTAACCCATCACCCCAAGACAAACTGGGATAAAGAAACTGAGAGTGGGAGTTTGGGGCAAAGTCAGGAGGCTGAATTTCCTCCTTCCCTGTCTACAGCCTTAGGGGGAAGGCTCCTTTGGGGGGTGGGAAGAGTGAAGGGGCAGCTGGGTTGAATTTGTCCAAATCTAATAACTCTGGAGCCTATTGAAGGCCTTGGGGGTTGGGAAGGGAGGAAAGTCTTGAATATTCCTCTAACTTCCCCCCTCTCTGGTCCCTTCTTTGCAAAAGTCTTTGAAGAAAGATGTTTTTGACGCTTCCACGTCGCTCTCAGATGGATGGGCTGCCGGTGATTGAAGTGTCTTTGTCATGCTAATGCTTGGGGGGTGATGGATGGGCGCTAGGGCTGCCAAACTCTGGCCCGCAGCGCCCATTGGCCTGGGAGAGATCACATGCGCCCCGCCACCCCTACTCCCTACCCCTTTCCTGGGGGAGCGCTGGCCCAGGCGATCTGGGCCAGGCCATGGACGCAAGCTTCAGCGCTGTGACATACTACCGAAAGGTTGTAGGGCAAGAGGGTGTCTCCCCAAAACGGGCCGACCCTCCTGCGGCCTCCACGCATGGACTATAATAGGATGAACTCTTTCCTTGAGTACCCACTCTGTAACCGGGGACCCAGCGCCTACAGCGCCCACAGCGCCCACAATGCCCCTACTTCCTTCTCCCCCAGCTCGGCTCCGGCTGTTGACAGCTACGCAGGCGAGACCCGCTATGGCGGGGCACTACCCAGCCCCGCGCTCCAGCAGAACTCAGGCTATCCCGTCCAGCAGCCGCCTTCCGCACTGGGAATGCCCTTCCCCAGCTCTGCGACTTCGGGGTACGCCCCGGCAGCCTGCAGCCCCAGCTATGGGCCTTCTCAGTACTACCCTCTGGGCCAATCAGAAGGAGATGGAGGCTATTTTCCTCCTTCGAGTTATGGGGCTCAGCTAGGGGGCTTGTCCGACGGCTATGGAACGGGTGGAGCGGGCCCGGGGCCGTACCCTCCGCCGCAGCCCCCTTACGGGAACCAGCAGACCGCAAGCTTTGCACCGGCTTATGCTGATCTCCTCTCCGAGGATAAGGAATCGCCCTGCCCGTCTGAACCCAGCACTCCCACAGCCCGGACCTTCGACTGGATGAAGGTTAAGAGGAACCCACCCAAGACAGGTAGGGCTCAGGCGTGGCCACCCCCTCTCCGGGGGCCCAAAGCGGATGTGCTTCTCCTGCACTGAGGTGTTCTGAGCCCAAGGTAGCTTCCTCTCTCTGAGACGCCCTGGTAGAGGCAGGTAAGAACATTCTGCCCCGTTTCAGGCTGGGTGGGGTCTCCCTACCCAGTGAGTGCCGAGTTACCCTTAAGGGTAAGTCTCCACATTGACCGCCCACTTCCTGATCTGTGTGCCCACCACAGGCCCAGGACCCAACGTGCCTGCGGGGCGGGATTGGAAGTGTGGGGAATGTTGCTCTAGATTTGGAGATCACCTGGGCGGGGGCGGGGGTGGGCGCCTGGTGATCTATGGGAACTTTGATTGCTGAAGTTGGACAGAATGGTGAATGGGGCTGCAGAGCTGGCCCGGGAGGAGGGGAGGAGAAGGAGAAAGAGCTGAGAGAACTGACGTGGCCCTTCTCTGCCCCGCCCCTAGCGAAGGTGTCGGAACTGGGCTTAGGGGCGCCCGGCGGCCTCCGCACCAATTTCACCACCCGGCAGCTGACTGAGCTGGAGAAGGAGTTCCATTTCAACAAGTACCTGAGTCGGGCCCGGAGGGTGGAGATCGCCGCCACCCTGGAGCTCAACGAGACGCAGGTCAAGATTTGGTTCCAGAACCGGCGCATGAAGCAGAAGAAGCGTGAGCGGGAGGGAGGCCTGGTGCCCCCAGCCCCTCCAGGCTGTTCCAAAGAGGCGGCTGGAGACACCTCCGATCATTCGACAGGCACCTCCCCGGAGGCCTCGCCCAGCTCCATCACCTCCTGAACTCAAACCTCCCAGCCGACTGGGCTCCTGGGCTCCGCAGCGCCTC